GATCCTGCCCCTCTACTCAGCCCTGGGGAGGCCTCACCTGGAGTCCTGTGTCCAATTCTGGGCTCCCCAGTACAAGAGAGACATGGCACTACTGGAGAGAGTCCAGCGGAGGGCTACAAAGATGATGAGGGGACTGGAGCATCTCTCCTATGAAGAAAGGCTGAGGGAGCTGGGCCTGTTCAGCCTGGAGAAGAGAAGACTGAGAGGGGAATCTCATCAATGTCTACAAGTATCTGAAGGGAGGGTGTTGAGAGGATGAGGCCAGTCTCTTCTCCGTGGTGCCCAGTGACAGGACAAGAGGCAATGGGCACAAACTGAAACACAGGAAGTTCCATCTGAGCATGAGGAAAAACTTCTTTCCTGTGAGGGTGACTGAGCCCTGGATCAGGTTGCCCAGAGAGGTTGTGGAGTCTCCTTCCCTGGAGATATTCAAAACTCGTCTGGACACGATCCTGTGCATTGTGCTCTAGAGGACCCTGCTTGAGCAGGGGGGTTGGACTAGATGATCTCCAGAGGTCCCTTCCAACCTCAACCATTCTGTGATTCTGTGATCACTATTAAAAGACTATCTGCAAAACATTAGTATGCAGTATTTTTCTACCTACTAATGCTCCGGATGGATAACATGTCTCATCACGTTTGTTTTCAAATGCATAAACCATATTCTTATAAAGCCTCGATACCAAAAAGTTTCGGGCTGATTTTGCCCAACTGTCCTGCACAGTCAATAGAAAGACAGAGGAAGGCAGCTATGGTGATGCAGAACAAGACCTCAACCTTGGAGCTCCATGGTGCACAAACAGAAGCTTCCATTTTTACCCACTGACTGTCGAAGAGTGCTAGAGATTGACTAACCTTTTACATTTCACACTATCCTTTATGAAAGCTCATACTACATCTGACCAGCTGGTATTACTGTCTCAGAAATCCTGCCCTATTCTACACTTTAATCTCTCTACCATCCTTAAGAACACATAACATGCTACCAACCATCCTTTCCAGGACGTGGGTCATCCTGCCGAGTGTCGTAATTTAAGAGCTGCTCCCGCTCCACCTCCTCATTGGCAGCCTGCTCTGCTGCTGGCTCTACAGCCTCTTGCCCAGCTACATGTTTTGCATCTTTGTACAGATTCAGTCCTTTCTCTGACTCAGGTGGCATCTCCTGAGGACCTGTGGCAGCCTTGAGTGAATCCTGCAGGTGTTTCAGTTCACTAGAAAGCCTCTCCTCCTCTGCTTTAGGCTCCTGTTTTCTAATGGCAATAAGGCCATTTATTCTTTCTGTAAACAATAAAGATCGCTCTGAGTACAAAACATAATTCCTTTTACTGGAAGCAAAAGTTAGAAGCCTTAAATAAATATTGCTTTATCCTTCTCATTCAATACCTATTTTTCCTCTGAAGGAACATCTTTCAACCACATCAATTCCAAAGAGAAAGAGACAGAAGTCATACCCTGTTTTTCCCACTTGGGACAGCTATAGAATGAGATTTGTAAAGTCTACTGTGGTTTTGCTCAATATTAACAGATTCACACTTCTACCTACTTAAAATGTTGATATGTACAGTTAATAAATTGGGCAAATGAAGTAGAACCATTGAAATACAAAACTGTGATGTTCTATGTAAGTATCTGCTATCCCAGCATTAGAGGTATGCAAAAAGAAGTTTCTGTATGTGTTGCATTTCATTATTAACAATAAAACTGATTTGGTGTTCAGAAATAGCTTAAAACAAAGCAGTCACATAGACAGTTTTGCAAGTAAAACAAAGCTGTTTTTATTTTTAAATATGGAGATGCATTGCAGGAGGGCTATTGCTTTCAGCAGACATTACCACATCTTTTTTTCCCTATGTATCTGTATTTTTGACTAAACAACATCAGGATACAATTTGCCTGAAGAAACTATATAGAGATGTTGTCTTGAATTGTTAGCTTTCTAAAATGAGAGCTGCAGTACTCCCAAGATTGTAATTTAAGATAGCACGTTAGAATAATTAAAGAGGAAATTGAATTTTTAACACACACAGTACTATGCAAGACTGAGGCAGTAGCAGCCACCCATTCAAATTAATAGTTTCTCAGAGTTTAATGCCAAAAGCAACCATTAGGTGAGCTAATCTGATTTCCTGCATATCATTTCCCTTACTTACATTTTACCCAGTGACAACATATGGAAGGCAGGAATGTGTGTTTGTTTAAAGCCTAACTTTCAGCTACCCCTTATGGATGGGTGGGGCACTAGGTGTGTCAGACTTATTGAACAAGCATTTTTTAAATGTTCTTAAAAATCTTTGCTTCCAAAAGCAGGACATTTTCTCCATAGTAAATCAGGGATATGATTACAGACTTGTAAATATTTTTCCTTTTCCTTTACATGCAATATATGTCAGTTACAACACATGACTGAACCAGTAGAAATGCTGGTAATAAAAATGCTTGAACAGATATTAATTATATCTCTCCATAGCTCAGGAAAAATTGATTATAATTCAGACTACTAGTGTAACTTTTCCCATTTTAATCTTGTATATATATATTTTTTTTAAAGAATGTTTAAATAAATTTCAAGCCTTATTACCCAAGTTGCTATTAGGATGTCAGTGATTTCCATCTCACCTTTAGCCTGAGGAGACTCTGTCCTTTTTGCTATAGGTACTACTCTGGGTACATCTTCATTGGCTTTCTGCTGTTCCAAGCCAGCCTGCTGGAACTCCACTTGCTTAAAGGCAGGCAGTTGAACATTAACCTATAAAGTAAATGCACACAGATAGGCATTGGTCTAAACACATAGGGTTTGGTAGTGAACGTTAGATCAAAATTCAATAGGAAAAAAGTGTAAACACACTCAGAAATATTTTAACTGAACTTTTTATTGGTGATGGAAGTAGCATACAATCTTGAGCATGCAGTGTTTCTAGTGTATCACATACATCACGAGAATTTAACACGTCTTCTCTAATACCTTTCCATCTAATTGCGGCTAACTGTGAGGTTGTTCTTGGTCAACGTTTCACAGGAACACAACGAACAAGCAAGGGTCACAAAATTGTAGTAGTGCACACTTCTCCAGTGTTGCCCTGTTAACATGTCGGGGCTCGCAGCCCAATAAAAACTGATGGCCTTAACTAGCACAGCAACATTTCACAGACTCATAGACTCTGCTGTGGACACACAGTTTGTTATTTTCTGTGTTAAATATGAGTGTTTGTTACAAATATCCTTATTTACTTGGGCTTTTGAAAAAACAAGGAATAACATGACAGCAATATTACTTGAAAGAACGGGGTGGGGGGAAGAGAGAGCAAGAGAGAAATTCATCTAATAGGACAGAGTAGAGGCATGGGATAGCCTTTTGTCAAAAGTTTTATCCAAGACCTTATCCAAGACATTAAACATGGACAATACATAGGGCTAAATGTTTTCAAACAAGTTTTATCTGTAACGTAGTTTGAGATAAAGAGAAGCTGGCTACCTTCCTATGCAAGACAGTTCCTGGTCTCTTAACTCAGCATAGCAAAACATTTCTTAACAGCACATGGTTACCTTTCTGACTCATATCAATCAATCTATAGAGACAGATAAACTGAGTTTGGGCATAATCAGACTTCAGTTAATCAAGGCTGCACAGAACTGGACTAAAACTATGTTGAATGCAGGCTTAAGATAAGAAAAAAATTTAAATCAACCAACTAGACAACAGTATCCATTTAACATGATGGAGCTCACTTAAGAATGTATTAAATACTAGTACTAGACTGCTCTCAGAGCCTGACTCATCTGACCTGCTTAAAGATTAATGGCTAAGATGTACACTAGCTTGAAGCTCTTCCAGTTTAGCAATTAAAATTTTATGTGCAACTCTTACTCATATTAGCGTTTAATTGGCCAAGAGCTATGCCAATTCAGTTCATACAAACACAGAACATGAAATTGTGCCTGGAGCCTATGTTGCCCTATACCAGCTTCAGCTCAAAAACCAGACTGTAATGAAACTGCTTGTTCTATGTATTTTTTGCAATAGATGTGGAGAGAGGACAAGTATAGAGACATTTAGAAATGTAAACATTTTTACACCTGATACTGTATCAATGAATAGGAAACCTTATGGTATGAAAAGTTTTTTGTTGACTCTATGACATTTAATATGATTGTTGATAAACTGTAGCTACTTATTGTTCTAAGCAGGTCAATAAAACACAAGGCTGCGAAGTGTTCACCTGGCCATTTGCAAATATGTCTGTGAAAAGAAATGATTAAATAACCCAGAAACTAAAGCTGTACAGGATTTGTAGGTGTTGGGGTTTGCAGTTAACCTTTATTTGACCCCCATCAGACTGCCCAGCCCTGATGGGGATTCCCACCAGTGTCCATTTAAACTCATTGGCGAGGAGAGGTCACATGTTACTAGGGTCCCTGGCTGTCCATCACTGGGAACTTTCCAGAAGGGAGGCAGAAACCAGGTTCAGCATGACTACGCCCACAATTGGACCTTGGCTATAAAAGGTGGCCGCTGGCGCTACAGGGGGCTTCTGGAGTTGGTGGTGGTAACCGAAGAAAGAAGAGAAG